GCAGCCTGTTGTTCATGTGTATTTGGCGTCCCTCACTAAATCCCCTGCCAGCCTTGTCACCTCACACAGCCTGCTGTTCAGTCATCTGTCTGGTTCTTTTGGTTGTGATGGCCCCTGGCATTTTATATATTAGGATAGCAATGAATTAGAGGTCTGTTTTCACACTAAAAAAATGTTAACATTCTGATGTACATCTCTCTTGAGATTTCATTTTCCTGATAATTTTTGAGGTTGGGCTTCTTTCATATGTTTATTCCCCTCTTCTTCATTGACACGATTTCATTTATCATTTGCATGGATGTAAGCTGTTCTATATTCTACTTTATTCTCTGTCAATAGCATACTTTTAAAACAAATCCACAGTGAGCCTGTCTATCTGAGGCAGACAACAGATTTCATTCTTCAAAATGCTTTATCTAATTCTTAGCCTTTTTCTTTTACTCTACTTATATGATACATTTGTCAGGTTGAGAACTCTATCACTGTGCACATAACTTAATTATATTGCATCATAATTACTTTTTCAATTGTAGCTCCACCTTACTGGAAAATTTTTCCTATTTCAATTGGGAAAATATGGTATTTATTTTTGTATATTCAGGAAAGAGCACTTGATAAGTGCTCAATAAAAATCTTTAGGATGGATTGAAAGGGTAAACTGAAAAGTAAATGAAATTAATTAAAGAATCGTTAAAAATGTGGTTTTAATACTCCTTAGTAAAATGTCCTAGAGAAGTAGTTTAAACTCTTTAAATATTTTAACTAACAAATAAATAATTCCTTTCCCCATATTTCAATTAAATTTGTTCAAAGATCTGAGCATACAGTCAGTGTTGATTTAATGAGAGAATTTTTTTTCAGATAAAACCAATGAAGGCTAATATCCTGGTTACTCTGTGGGAACTTATTATAGGCAAACACAACTTTCATTTGGGCTATTTAAAATGCTGACATTTACTCAAAGAACAAAAATAAATCTATGCAGAATGATTGGAAAATTAAGGAAGATAACGGGTATTAGGTCATTAATGTGCTGAAACTTTGAAATGGGAACAATACTAAGACTGCATTAAAATTTGGAAGGGTGTTATTTTGAGTTTAAACAGCTTTGAAATTTAGTAGAATTGATTTTTTTGTTGACAAGAATTTATCAAAGTACATCTTGATCCACTCTTTCTAGCAGCCATAAAAAGTAGATTCTTTCTCTATAGTAAAAAAAAAGTATTAAAATTAAATCTCTATTAACAGGAAATATGATCATCGATTGCTTTTTCACAACTTAGCCAGCAGGATTGTATTGATGTTTCTTTATATTTATTCATTTTGAGTGAAGTTCTCTCAGATATTTTCCAATAAAATATTTTTATTAAAAACATATATTTGTCCACGAAATTGGACTATAGTCAAGTGAGGCATAATTGGGACATGCTTTGAATTCCATTTTCAAAGAGTCTTAGTTAATATACGTTATCAGAAATATTTTCATTAAAAGTAGTGATATTTTGCTTGGGACAGCCAACTTTGTGGCACCGGTTTTTTATATTTTTTTTAAAAGGGAACTATTAAATTTGACGTTTAAAATAAAATAGTTTTGAGATCCATACTACATTATCATTAATAGCTAAGAATTATGAGCAAGCCTTGTAAGTCCAAGTCCTTATGGGAATAGATGCCAATAAACTGTAATCGGTGTTCCCCAGCAAAGGGAGCATCTCTGATGGAACTGCAAACAATTTTTCGTCAGATATATTAAATCAGTCTAACCTACCACTCTCTTTCGAAATAGGACTAAGTTCTAAAAAATATCTAAAGATAGAATGCGTAGTTGCACTCTAAATGGAGTTAGAAACTTAACTGCTTTCAAAGGAAGAATAATCTAAAAGGGTTTATGAAACTTTTTGTGATGCCTACTCTATCTAATTGGGTTGGATTTCAAAAAGTTCCTGGGCAAGTTACTATATTTTAGTAAGGATCGAATTAACCATCCAATTCAGCAACCTACTAGCCCCACTGCTTTAAGGTATCTACTTGGCATCTGTGATCATTAAAATCTTCACAGAGCTGTGAGGATAGTCAAGTACTCAGCTTAGTGTCTGATACGCCGTTACTATGGCAGCCATTGTGACTATACTCTTTAATTGTTAAAAGGTGCCAAGTCTAAAACCAACTCACTTCCTTTATAGAAGAAAGGCCCTTATATCTTTTCCATGGAAGCAGAATTGATAAGGCTATTCTACCCTAAAGAAAGATTCTTAATTGTCATCATCCCAATTGCCATACACCAGACTCCTTTATTTTTATATCCTCTGAACAAAAGTTTGTCTTAAAATCCTGTGGAATAAAATTGGATATTTTAGAGACATACTCAGCTATAAACTAAATTAATTGATTCAATAAACCTTTAGCAAAAATCTATATTCTCTCAAATAGCTCATGATAAAAAATAAAACAAGCAATATGCATAATTAAATATGATTTGCTAAGTGTTTTTAAAAGAGCTATGTGCATGGTAGACAATTGCCTAAGGAGAACCAATCAGTTTAGAATTGGGTCCTGGCACCTCTCCATTGCTAAAGAAATTGGGAACACATTCACTATTTATACTAATCTAAATTAAGAGATGTCTCTCTAGTATAGGCCATATGCTAAGTTAGCAACCAGATTTTGTTAAATTTTTCAGACACATAGAGATCCTAAAATAGTCTTACCCAAAGACATATGTTTAAGCACATTAGAGTTTACCAACTCATGTCTTAAAAAATTAAACTAGCAACTTAGAATAAATTGGTTTGACAGCTGATGAGATATTTCAAATCTTTTAAGTTTTTATATTTTTGCATAGTCTTCAAAGTGGTTGTTTATTTTCCTTCTACCCAAAATAAATTTTATCCCAAAAGTTTTGTTTGAATAATTAATACTGTAATTTATATATGCTATTTATAAAATTGAGCTCCTCTAGAATTTTTCTTTCAAACATGTGTAGCTTATGAATGAAAAGTATCTTTAAAATGCCATTTGTTTAGTATTATGTCATTTGTTGTAAAACAGTAGTGATATAGCCTTGATTTTATCCCAAAGAATACTTGTGAGGAAAGTAACAAAGAATTCAAATTATTTTTCAAGAAGAAATTTTATACTATTATTGAAAAATATTAATTACTCAAGAGACAATAAAGATCCATATTATATGATTTCATGGAAATATTCCCACCTTCTTCTTTCCTTTCCTGAACACAAGTGCACAGTGAAAATAATAATCCATTTATTTAGAATATCAATATGTGCTCTGCAGTTTAATTTTAACTTTTTATCCATTGCTATCAAACTCAGATGATAAAAAGAAAGCTTAGTCAATAAGAGATACTTTTAACATTCTCTGAGAGCAGTACGCAAATAGAGACTAAAAAATAATGTCCACATCAAAATTATTTTCTCTACAGAGCTCAGCATATTGTTGAACATATTGTAATAAGGTCTGTGGACAGCCGAAAATGCAAAGTAATCTGATTACTTTGTTCCTGCTTTATTATCACTTGTATTTCATCCTCATCTCAAGCTTGGAGATGATTATTAGCAGCAGATGAAGCCAAAGACCCTGAAGCAAACATGTTAAAAGATGATGCTTACATTTACCTCTTCCTATAAAGCTTTAGTTAGGACAAGCTAAAAATGCTTTCCTTCTAAACGTACATAGGAAAAAAAGATAGAATACTGAATATGCTATAAATTTCAGTTTTGATGCAGAAAATAAATTATAGAACAGAAGTACCAGAAACCTCATATCCCCTGCCAACAAAATGTACTCTTTTGAAAATTATGTGCTTCATCTAGGGGTGATTAAATCTGAAACCAATCCAGTGATTCAATGATGGCTTAATGTCTCATGGTAAGGGATGCCTGTGTTTGAATTTGGAGAAAATCTGGCTTTTAAAAATAGTGTTATTTTTAAGCAACCTTGGTTCCTTACTAATAATTGCTATACTATATTCTATAAAGATAATGTTGTTTAAAATGTCAACCATAGGTTTAATTTGACTAGGGGAGAGAATTAATTGTTGAATTAAGGCTTGAATCAATTGTTAGCTATCTCTTCAAGACATTCTACAGTATATAGAAGCTAACCGATTATTATAATGAGACTGCAGCATTACCCTACACTTTAAAGGTGGTGTTCTTTGTTATATTAAACAGATCTCAAAAAACTTCTGTGATTTAAAATATTCCATAATGCTAATGCTTTCCAAAATAGATGAGCTTCTGATTATTATTGTCTTAATTTTCTCACTCAATTCAGAAATAAAACCCTGCGATTTAAACATCATAGGATGAGTTCTATTGTATAAACCAGCAGTTTTCAACCTTTTTTCATCTCATTGCACACATAAAGTAATTACTAAAATTCTGTGGCACACCAATAAATACATTTTGGCCCATCTGACAAAAAAAAAAAGTATCATATTGATTCGTTCACACTGGATGGCTATTGTTGTGTTGGCTGTTATTATATTTGACAATCTAAGGGAAAAGAGGTCAGTGCCCCTGACTACATAGTAAGGTATTACATGTTTTAAAAATTCTTGTGGCATGCCACTTGAAAATTGCTGGTATAAACAGATAGGTAAAAAGGTCTAAATTACCAGATTTATTTTTTTAAAACTACAACTATGAAAAGAGCAACACAATAATATTCAAGAAATATTAGTGGAAATGGAAATAAGCTCTCATAAAATCTTGTGATAATACTTTTGCTATTTAAAAGTTCTTACACAGTAAAGTTTCTTATTGAGGAGCACATACTGTGGAAAAGCCAGAAAAAAATATGTGGAATTATACAAAGGCTCTAAAGCAAAAACAAACATCAAATCATATCATGAGATCTTTGAGCAATTCATGGTCCAAAAATATTTATGATCCAAAAATAATTTATCTTAGCCAAGAGATAATTACCCACATTATTGCTTGTATAATAATCAATCCTCTCTAGAATAATATTTTAAATTAGGCATCATGACATTTACATTTTGGTGTACTAACAACAAAAATAATAATTTTCCTAAAAAATACGTTTTATTCAAAATTGAAAACACAAAAACTCTCCCATATGAAGTTGTATTAGATTAAATATATAGTGATACCACCATACACATTGATGAAATAGGTCTGTGATAAAATTAGAAATGAAGTTAATGGTTCTTCACTTTTAATGACTAAGAGATTATAATGCCTAAAATCCATTTAATTGGAAGAGAGCTGGCAGACAGAAATTTTGGAATGAATAATGCCATCCAACTTTATCTTACAAAAATTTTTCAAGAAGAAGTAACTGCTGTTTTCCTAAATAAAACATTCATATAGTAGAAGCACTTGGGTACAGAAAATATGACAGGTTAGGTGAGACAATTATGATGAAAGGATACCATGACACAATAGGCCCCTATCCTCCCCCCAGCCTAGTGGCTTTAGGGGGAGAGTTCCTCCCATTTCTGCAAAGGAGGCACTGATGATCAGATTTCAGAAATGTCCATCTGAAATGGGCAGAGGGTCTGTGCTGAGGGAACGCTGCTATTATGATTCAACATAACAATAGGCCATTGGAATAAGAGGCAATTGGTGTACTTCTTGCATTCTTCTGGAGCCTCCTGAAATCAGAGCTTTAGGACCATTATGTATTAAGTTATAAAAGGTAGAAATTTAGAAGAGAAGCTAGAGAAAAATCTTCCAATCTCCCTGAAGCCCAGTGACACCCCCTAACCCTCAGTTCAAAGCTTATAGATACATATAGTAGAGCCTCAACTACATGTGTATAATTTGGAATTAGTTATCAGAGATATAAGATTTAAGAAATCTTCCCACTAATGCTCACCTACATGCTACTTAGCATTTCCCACTAACAATTCCTACTTTTCAAACAAGAGATCATGCAAAGGTTTTTATTTCTCAGATTATGCTAAAATAACAAAAAATGTAGATTCATAAACCTGTGGTCAAAATTCTACCTGGTTGGCAAACATTAACATTATACAAATGATAATAACAGTATTTGAAATACTAATTACACTGGGGGGGGCATAAATGAGTTTAATGCACAAAGAGATAAATTGCCTAAATAAATATCATCAAAATAACATATGAAATGAACAATTTCATAGATTTTATAATTGATTCCACTTTGATTCTGATATAATCCTCCATTTGGCCTTCATTTGAGCATCTGCAATGTGCTTATTGAACCAGAGGCTGTAATTTAAGTTACCTACTGAAGTAGAATCCTATAATTTTATAATTCGTATCTGAATAGCAAAGAAGAGTGCCCTCAAGTCATGCAAAAGCATGGGTCATTGGAAGTGATGTAAATCTTCCCTCTCATTTATGGAAGTAGGATCAGTAGCCAGCAGGAATGTATAAAGAGGTTTAGCCCAGGATGGGTTCTAAGGAGCTAACCTGGATACTCAGCTAACTGAATATCTATACTGTGGAAGTCACTTCAAGTCACCAAGTTTTGACCAAGCTGTCCAGTTTCACATGTAACCCCATTTTGTCTCTACTCTTTTGATCAATGCCAATAGAGGTGGAAGCTCTTAAATGTGACAACAATCTAAAATTCCAAAGGACAGGATCTATCCAAATCTAAATGAAGTTTCCAGGGCTACTTGACATTGGACTGGACACTCTAGGCTCATATCTAGCCTCTAGTGATAAATTGATGATGTCTTCAATTTTATTCACCAAGATGTTTTCTTCACATCATCCTAAACTGAGAGAATTTTATTTTAGTACAGACAGAACTTTAAAACAGAAATTTTAGAAAACATAACAAAAGTTACATTATAAACATAAAATTTACTCTGCTTTTGAGCCAACACTGACCTTCTGTTCCAAAAGCAACGTGTTGGTAGGGATTGCTGCAAAAGCCTTGTAGCTTGAACTGGTCTTGTATTGCTAGAACGGGTAACCAGAAAGCAAGAGTGGAGATGAAAAGAGGGAAGAACATGACATAATTTTAGAGTAGTTCTACCAGGTTAAATGACAAGTTATCAAAGAAAACAGTTATTATGCTTGACCAACGTGTTTTTGACAGAAAAAAAAAATTAGCTTCCATGTTAATATGTCATTAGAATGAGAAGCAAAGAACTATCACAGCAGTAAAATATCAGCCTAAGGATAATGGCAATTATATGATATATATCTTCAGAATTAAAAAGTACCACTCTCTAGAAAGTTATATATAAACTAGAGGCCCAGTGAATGAATTCGTGCACGGGTGGGGTCCGGCCAGCCCGCCCCGATCAGGCCAGGCTGGCTGTAGGGTAGGATGTGAGAGGTTGCCGGCCTGCCCTGTTCCCGATCAGGGTGGAGGGGCCAATCGGGAATGGGGCCGGCTGGAGGGAGGGGTTGCGGGCGGTTGGTGGGCTAGTCCCACCCCCTGGTCAAATTCCTGGTTGAACTCCCAGTCAAGGGGACAATTTGCATTTAGCCTTTTGTTATATAGGATTTCTCATTAGCAGCATTTCCTCATAGGAGTGCTATTCTTTCAATGTGAGGGTTGTTTTTTATTTATTTTTTGTTGTTGTTGTTTTGATTCTCAAAGAAAATTATTTTTTATAGTGCCATAATTAACAAATATCATGCCAATAAATTATATTGAACTTATGATACATTCTCTTACATCATTTATAAAAATAAAGAACAGAATACATAAAATTTAGTAGCAGTTTAATAAGCAGCATATTTTGAATAGAAGTGATTTCATCAATTTAACTCTAAACTGGAAAAAATAGAAAGCTCTTGATCTTAAATTTATTTTTTAGACCTTATCATCTCCTGTATTTTCTAATATTGTAATGTTAATGAATCAAATGATAAAATGTCCTGAGTTTTAATTACAACTCAGTGTAATATAGTTTCGTTTTGTGTAGTATTGGGGGGAGAAGGCTGAACATGAGGGAGTTGTAGAAATCAGGATAATATGCATAATCAAAAGCCCAGCTTTGATACCGCTCTGGGTTCCAAGCTGCTTAACTAAGTTCAAGGCTCCTATCATTTCAGAAGCCCCTGCCTCAGGCAGCTTCCCCAGGGACTCAGAGACAAGGAGAAATCTGCACACAGCTACACATTGCCTCAGTCCACTAAAAAGCAAACTAAACGGTCTACAGAAGAAGACAGGGCAATCAAGTCAAATAAATCATTGAGTTTTATGGATATAATTGAAATAACCTTCATTAAACTGGTGCAATGAAGGTAAGAGAAATCAAAATCCCAGACCTAAAAGAAGTCTCAGGTCCCTTTTAAGCCCTAAGTCTCTATATTCACTCTGAACTGCTATGGCCTCCAGATAATACCTTATTTGGACAAAAACAAAATGAAATGTCATCTCTTCATGGAGAATAAGAACTGACATTTATTACTGGGAAAATTATATATATTGCATCATTTAATTTTCCAGAAGCCGTGTAAATAGTCATTAGGAAAAAGAGACATGGTGAGGTCAGCTGTAGTCTAGTCTAAGACTAAGCAGCCCATAAAAAGTAGAAACAGGTTTGACATCCAGGCTTGCCTGGATCCAATAGCCATCCTTTCTCTATAAGATCATATATTCTCCCAAAGAATATGTAAAGACAAATAATATGAAATAAAATATATCATTAATACTCCATGATGATTTTATTGTATTTAATTGGAATAATAGCTGCAATAATAATAGCTAGCAATCACTATGAGCCAGGTATCATTCTAAAAGCTTTTTGGGTATTACCTCATTTTATTATTACAGCAAACCTATTAGGCAGATACTATGTTAAATCCATTTGATATATGGAAACTTAAGTAACTTATGTGAGGTCGCTAGCTAGTAAGTCATAGCTGGGATCTGGATGCAGATACTCCACCTCAACAACAGTGCACTCATCTACCATATTCCCTTGCCTGTCATTTCAGGAAGCATAATCATTTATAACATTTGTCCTCCTGTCTTCAACTGCTCTAAAGATTATAGCTGGAGAAACCTGTATCTTGTTAATGCACATATTATGCCATAGAATCTTAGAATCAGAAGTGATGTTGAAGGCTCTCTAGTTTAACGCCCCCATCCAAGACAAAAATCTCTCTGATCCTCTGTTCTGCCACCACATGAAGAATTGCCTACCTCCAAGGCAACAAATTTAGCATAATTGTTAGAATTGGTGCAAAATTCCTTATATTGAGCCAACATACAATACAACCATTCCATTGTTCCTATTTCTCTCCCCTTCTAATCATGTGCATTCTAAGAGCTCTCTTCAGCATGATAGTTATACTGCTATTTCTATCAACTCCTCCTTACCAGTCCTTAACTGATGAATTTCACTATTCTTATCATTTTGCTCTGTTGATATTTCTTTAAATTTTGAAAATTTATGTGTTTAACTAGATGTATTTTTTAACACAAAGTAGAATATAATCATCACCTCTATGATTTGACAATAAAGTCAACTAATACAATGAAGATTATAATAATTAGAATTGTCTCCTTGTTTTTGGTGGTGAGTTTAGAATATACAGGAGAGTGACGTTGGAGTTAGTTCATATTGTTGGATCATAGGAAGCATGGGAGGAGAAGGCCATATGAGTACAAAGGCAGAGATGGGAGTTATGCAGCCAGAAGCCAAAGAGAGCCGGGAGCCCCAGAAGCTGGAAAAGGCAAAGACGGGAGAGTGGAGAGAGTGCAGCCCTGCTGACACCCTGACTTTGGATTTCTGGCTCCCAGAACTTCACGGTGGCCTAAAATCTCTAATCCTTTTATTTTTTTAAGAATTTGTTGAAATCAAACTCTGTAGATATGCTTTTTCTCTAGATCCAAAAATAGTACTTTAGGCATTGTCTCTATCCAATTTCATCTGACTAGATTTGGATTGTCACTGTAAACTATGAAGATAAAAATTTTTATATTATTTCATGAACCGTTTGCCTAGGCACGTCATTTGTATTTTCATTCAAGTCATATACCAGTGATAAAGAGCTCTGGCCTACCCGGTTCTGCCATCAATCAATCCTATAAATATATTTGGATATAGCAGTTCAATTCATAAATTCATTCAATAAAATATTATTGTGTATTTTGTGATATGCATTGCTCTAAGTACAGTGAACAAAACATACAAAGCCTTTACTCTCTAGAGCTTGCATCCTCATGAATAGAGACAAACCATAAACAAATAAGAAAGCAAAGGAAATGTTTTAGAAAAATAAATAATAGGCAGAAATGTGAAATAAGTTAATGGATTAGAGAGTGACCTTGAGGATGTTTTGGATTGAGGACTTGGAATAAATGGGAGTTCACAGAAACAAGTCATTACACTCACATGTCTCTTTTTGTTCTTGATATAGTGAGAGATATCACAAAAGCTAGAACTTGGAGGGCATTCAATAAATAAAGGTCTGTTGCTTGAAAAAAATGTCTGACTTCCAGTTATAACTGTTGTTGTAAACATTCACAAACTAAGAATATAGGTTATAACTTTCAGAAATTATCTTCCATTTTTTTGAAAAATGGAACATATGGCTCACCTTTTTTCCCTGGTAAATCTCTTATTTCCCATCAGTTACAATGGCTTTTCAATAGAAGTAGAAATGTCATTTGTTTTCAGACACAATTTATCTAGACCAGGAAATATGAACTTACTCAGAACTAGGCAATGTTTCTAGTTCCTCATCTATCTTAGGCTTTATGCATCTCTAAGACATCTATCGCTTTCTCTTTTCAGTCTGAAAATCATTCTTGTTGCCATAAGAGATAAGTTTTAGGTTCACTGTATTTCCTCTGGGTTCTTTTAACAACATTCTAATTTGGACATATTTCTTCCTCAGCATTCTAAGGCTTCCAGGTATTAAACCAAATTCATTTCTTTCCCTTCCTTTGTTTAAAAATAGAAATCACTCTAGTCAAGGTAATTATAACTTGAATAATAGACTGTCATATTACAGGTTGGAATCACCTTCAGCGAATCACAGAAGGTAGACCTGACCAGCCTGACCCTGAATCTAGCAAAATATGTAATGATACTTACTGTATCCCTCCAATTTGTCATCTATGCTTTTAGTCAACATCCAATAAATATGTCTTAAATATCCACTACATGACAGGTACACTGCAAAGTTTAGGTTTAGAAAAGGAAATGGAGTTTTAGGACATAAATGTATCAGAACAAATCCTATTTATAGGCAATCCTAGATATTACAACATAAATCCTGGGTGTGAGGATGGGGATAGGAAGAGCATATCCTTCTCCTTCAGAAAATATTCCCCACCCCTGTCCTATCCCCTGTTGCCTAAATTTCCACACCAGGCTCTAGTAATAAAGACCCAGGAGATCTCAAAGTGAACTAACTATATTAGTTGCCTGAAGAATCGGAGATTTGAACTCATGGTTACACTTTAAGTAAAGGTGACTAGCAGAACCTCAGATTACATAAATGACAAAAGAGAACTCTAGTGAAAAGGGTGCCTTTCATTATGGCCAACTTCTCTTGCCAGAAGCATCGATGAGCATATATACTTCCTGCTCTTCAGTGACATGCTTGCACTTCCTGAGTCAGAATCTCCCTAAGGGGAAAGCTCAACTGAGGTCCTGATCCAATTCACAGAAGAGATTGTCAGACACCTGCCTTACATCTGGATCACTGGCAGAGCACAATCTCTATAATGATTTTTATAACTAAAGTGAAGGAGTAGGAGAGGGAGATGACAGTGGCAGCTACTAAGAAAACTTCCTAGACTTTTTTCCCAGGGGCCCTCTCCATGGCTGACTTTATCCTTTTGTGCTTCTAACTCTCTAAATGTGTAATACTTACTTCATTGTATTATAATATTTTTGCCATCCCTATTACCCTGTAACATCTTTTAGGGGAGAATTTCATATTATTTCCAACACCTAATATCATCCTGGCAAGAACAGATGCTCAGC